GCACATTCATTTAATATGATAAAATAGATTTACTACAAATCGCAAAATTTATGCAAAAATTTATTATTGTGTGGAACATAGTTGCAAGAAATAGTCCGATCCAATTCATATCCAATAGCCTGCCTACTTGAACCGAAACATGTTTCTATAGCAAATTTTATTAAAATTATTATCTCGAAACCTGTGACCTATAAGTTGAACACAAAAAAAAAAAAAAAAAAATCTATCTCAAGTCTTGTCTATGTTATGTACAGTCGTACAAACGTAACATACGCTTATGTATATATATTACAACTACAAATAGTGTAGGATAAAATCCGTTAATTTGCCAGATGCACACATAGGTATGCAACGTATTTTCATGACAAGGAAACACCTACCTTAAGATAAGGATAAAAAATAAATGATTGACTGTCACTGGTCAGACTTTGAGTAAGAAAGGCTTTGTAAAAACGCAATTGACTTCTTAAGGCTGGGCAATATTTGTAGGATCTTCACAAAAATGAGAGCTGCGATCTGACAAGCAAAATACACCATTGCTTGAAAACAAATGTTAATTCGAATCAGCAATGTTGGTGAAGTTAATTAGTAGCTATTGGTGAAAACAGGGGAGAGAGTGGTGTTCAATGATCAATGCTGTTAACGTTTTCTCGACGAGTTTTAGAAATTTTTGCTATTTCGAAAAATCAATCTCTAAGAACTTAACCACAGTTGCATCAATTGTGCGGGACAGTGTTACTTTAACAACAAAATTTAATCAATTTTTCAATGCCTTTACAACACGCAGAAGCAAGCTTCAAAAACCCCATAAGGTTTATAAATTCTCGGCTAGTATCAAATTTGAAATGCATGTCCGTGTGTCCATCTGTCCATCTGTTTTCTTGCTCAATTGTGAACGAAGATGTCGCCTACAAATTTCCAAAACACTTTGAAAAGTACCCAAACGGGTCAAAGAGCACACCTATAGCGCCCATACGACTATACAGTAAAAATTGTAAACACCTTTTTTTTCAGTGGTTTTTGCTTGTTACTCAAAGTACAGCGCATACGTCATATAAATTCCCACTTTTATTCTGAAAATAGAAAAAAACAGCCACGCCCACCCAATATGTCTTTTTTAGCTTAACGGTGATGGGTCACGTCCGAATATAGCTTTCTTACTTGCCTAGCATAAACCAGCATTTTAGAGGCAATTGCCGTTAAAAAGTGCTGCAAGTTGTGTTACAATTTGAAATACCCTTGCCTGCAAAACCTGTGCTTTATATTCCCAATAGAAAATCCTCAACGGTGATTACAAAAAAAAAAATAAAAAATAATAAAAATATTTTTACTACCAAACGCAACAAACGGCACCCTAGTTACACAATATGTACTGGCTAAGCTACCGTTCATAAATTTCAAGAAAACTCCCCAAAAAAACAAAAAAAAAGAATTATAAATAATAATTTATTTGTCTTGAGGATTTTTATGCGTTTTGCCATTCACTGTCATAGTTGCAGTTTTATTACTGTGATTATTCATCAGACTCTAATATAGATGTGTGTATGCGCGACATTACATTCATTTATGACTGTTGCTGCTGTTGCTGTTATTGACAATAGAAGAACAACATGAATTTGTTGCGTTACATTTCTCTACGTGTGAGCATAACTCTTAAAGGGGAGGTTATGGTTGGATTTTAATATCAAAAAGTGCACATTACTTACAGTTGATATACGAAAAATAAAAAAGAAAAAAAATAAAAATAAAAATAAAAACCCCCAACAACAATTGAAAAAGAACAGATCAGCGTTATATGCTGCTGCTGCTGCTGCTGCTGCTCTTGTCATCACTTGAAGATGGATCATATTTAAACTATACCTGAACACAAATATATATATATATATATATATATATACACACACACACACACACACACACACACACACACACATAGTATTCATGCAGTATAGGAGGATGACTTTGTTCCGTTTTTATAACCCATTAGAATGTTATTGTTTTTTTCTGACAACGAAGCGTTTCAGTTGCGTTATTATTTATCATTAGAAAGTAACGTAAGGGCAAATAAATCTTCTACTATTACTCACTACCCGCATATCCAGACCTTCATTTGAATACCAGCTAAGGGAAAGCAATGCATTATAATAGGCCACAATAGACAGTGTTTTTATTATAAAATATTCATGGTAAAGCATTTGCATCATCAATTGAACACTCAACCATTACAAATAAGATTTAAAGTTGTATTCAACAAATATTAAATTATTTATTTATTTTTATTATTCTTCTTCTTCTTTTTTTTTTTTTGAAGGTATTACACTTTAAATCCCCCAAACTACGGTCAGTTACGGTTGATTACAATAAAATTCTCACTCTTCGATTCATTCCCTATATGACTGTAAAGACATTAATACCCTTTTTCTTTTTACCTTCAATGCCTGACTGGTTGCTTGCTTGCCTGCATTACACGCACATTCGCTTGTGACTTTTAAATCACAGACTAATCACAATTAATCAGCTTATCTCAAAGCAGAGAAGAATTTTAAAGAGAATATTTAAATAATGTCACAAAAAACAAAAAGCTCCAAAGAGGTGTTGACAATAGACCATTACATGGCCAACACAAATAGCATAATCTGATATGAGTAATAATGTGTGGTGTTATATAAATTTTATTTATATACATACGTGTATATACAATTTATACAAAATGTATGACTGTGGATACGTTGATTCTATAATACATTACATTGTATTGATTGTGGAAAGACCGCGTACACATTGTGGATAGAAATCAGCATTGACTTGATTTACAAGAGACGTGAAGCAGACACATAAACAATGCAGATGTTGGATTTGAATTGTTTATTAATGTAAAGTTAAACTTTTTTTGTTAGTCTCGTTTCTGTCCGAAAATATGATTTTCATTTTGATTTTGTCGTAGTTGAGAATACGTTAAAGCATTCTATTATTATTTGAAATTATCCTAACGAAATTATATAGAGATTTTTTTATATGCGACTACTACACCGATGTTCCCCAAAGATGATGTTCGCTCAGGGGTGATTAGAAAGATTTTTATTTAGAGAAGGTAGGAAGAAGAAAGCAGTATTACTTGTGTATATTCGATTTGAAAATCAAAACATCCGGAAGGCACTACGGCGCGGTAAAATTTTAAAAGACATAAGTTGTACACATCCGGCTTTCAATGCAGTAACCATCGTAGTGTTAGCAAAATAGTTAAATTGTCCAGGTTTTTTTACAGCCTACAACACAGGTGTTGCGAGGTTTGTGTCTTATGCGAATGTATGAAACGTATAGAAGAACTTGAGATAGATCTGCCTTTTAGAGGGTGATTGTGAATCGATCTAAGCTTGTCTGTCCCTCAGTCCGCCTGGTAGGTTTACTTGTATTCAACCTGCAGGCCGCAAATTTTTGAGCCGTAAAACGGTTTAGTGTTTCTACCTGACAGTGTACCGTTACCCTGAAGGTATGATAAATTTATAAACTTATTTGAGTTAATTAATTCAGATGTTTGCACTACTTATTGCTTGTTCAGAAATAGCGTCAAAAAAATTATTCACGAAGTATACTATTCGGAAGCAATATGGATTCAGCAGAGGAACTAGTAGCTTTTAATACCTTAATTATGGTTTACAAAATAAGATCTCCATTATGTAACGAAATTGTTCGACATCATGAAGATCAAGACAGAGGTTATATTCAGCTAGTGCTCCGAGTAATTGATGTAAAGCATTTGATTGTAAGATGAAATGAAGATAGTATGCGGATTAACTATACATATGGGAATCGCACATTGTATCGTACATAGTGTATGTATTTAAAATAATAGATTTTCACGATGTTGCAGCACTGTCGGTATTTGTAGAAACTAACAATCACTTATTCACATATTCTGTATACTGGAGGCGAACTCTTGATTCCGTTCAGCTGATTTTTGTTTTTGATAGGAAGATTTTATAAAGAAAAAGAAAAGAAGAACCCATAGGATGGCTCTAAACTACAAGATTTTCTATTGATCACTTTACATCAAATTTTTCAAATTTGAATCAGACAGACGATGAACAGAAGGACAAACAAACAAATCGATTTTACTGTTCCGGCTAGAGGAAACTACGTGCACATAAATGGATTACAGGGAATGCCTTGTCAAAAAAAAACATATTCCGATTTTATAATGTATATATTAAATTATTATAGTACTACAGATATGATTTAATGTTAATTTTATTCCAAACCAAATTAAAAGTGATCTCCTTTGGGGATTTCAAATTGCCGCAATCAACCTTGCAAGCATACGAAGTTTGTGTACAGAACAAAAAAAAAAAAATTACTTTATTCAATAAGACAGAAAATTGTGAAAAGTTTAAGTGCACACTTGAAATCCTTTGTATCTCTGCACATGAAGGGAAGAGTAATGCTTATGAAGCTAACATCATTAACAATATATGTTCCGAAAATTTTATTGCATGGTATGGGTAATTCGTGTAACGGCTTAAAAAGTCTATTCGATTCGTGCCAATTCCCCTAGACCTCCAGTGGAACGATTCTAACGAGTCCCACCACCTACTTTGATTGGGAACGCTATACTACATTTACCATGATCACCAAGCAACTGCTTCTGCGGATGACGAATGTCACATAAGATATGACGAGACATGACGAGAGTCGTGTCTTTGCAAAATTTGTACTAATCGGGATCTAAGATACGCACGCTTCGAAAATAGTAACGCATTTTATAATAAAAGATAGCGACAGTCAAATGTGCTTTTCAAGAATGTGGAATAGAGCTTTTGATCGAGGATTGCCTACCATTTTTCTGAGTATCAAACATTTAACGATTCAAAATGAACGTAGGGCAATTCAGAGTTACACACTGTACTCAGGACATTCAAAATGTATTTGTTTTAAAAAAAAAAAAAAAATCGATTTTGACGAATTTCGAAAAAAAGTATTACTGTAAGCTTCTTATTACTTACTAATATTGGGAACCGCTACTACCGCCTCCGAGTGCAGCACCTAAAGCAAGATTAGATTGCATGCCGACACCACCGCCACCGACACCCATCAAATCCATACTGGAACCGCTAAGGTAACTTCCTGGATTATAACGTCCACCATTATCGGTATTTGTACCGCCGGTTAAACGATGACCAGGCACAACAATGCCCAAACCAGCCAGACCTGCCAATGCGTGACCGTGATGATGACCAACGCCATGGGTTGAGGTGCCTGCACCACCGTTTGTATGACCCATCAGCCCTTTAGATCCTACAGTGCCCAAAGAACCAATTCCCGTTGATAGTCCATTCAAATGTGAATTTGCATTGCCGTTCATAAGCGTTGTCAGCAGCGAATTATTAACATTTAATTGATTAATATTACTAGTGGAGGGATTTACTAGACCGTTATTATTATTATTATTGTTGTTGTTATTATTATTATTATTATTATTATTATGATTCATTAGAATGCCCGAAATTGTTGAACTGCCAGAATTTAATGTATTGCCGCTAAGACCTTGACCTCCTCCTCCTCCTCCACCTCCGCCGCCCCCACCTGCTAAGCCGCCGGCGTGACTGGTTTGGCTGGTATGAATGGTAAGATCATCGCAATGCGTTAACTGTAAATGCCACAAAGCCAAAGTGGCTATCGTTATGAACCACAATAAATACATTAGATTGATTGATAGGGGTCTCCTTATGTGAATGCGGATATGTGTGATGAATAATTTGTAAAACTAATTTTATTTAAGTACTCTTTTGCTTAATGCCAGGCTACTTTTAAATATGTTTTATATTTTATGCTTATGTGTTTTTTTGTTTCCTTTTTCAATTAAACTTTAATTTGCAATTTCGTTAGTTGTCGTTAATTATTCTTGTTACTATGATTAATAATTTTTGTTTTCTAATAAATTATTTATTTGGTAATAATACTTCAGTTTCTTTGATATTTAATATGCTTTGACACAATTCTTTTTGCACTTTTGTCGTGATTTCTTTGATTTTCTTTGCATTTACGACATTTCTTGTTTTGAATTAAGCAAAATTACGTTTCAAAGTATTTTTTAATGATTCGTTTGTTCTACTTCCAGGAAAGCCTAGACTAAGTGACTGACTGACCGCAAACAATAATTCTCTGTTTGTTTATTGCGCTCCTTTCTCTCCGATCGTTTTTACTTGCACAATATATATATATTTTGTTTATCTTCTTTTCTTCTCTTACGCGCTCGTTTTGCCTCCTTTTACCGAATGCACATTTTTAAGTTAGTATGGGTTTTAGTTTTGGTTTTTTTTTTGTTTTTTTGCTTTTTTTTTTACTAAATGGTCATCATCGAGGTTTGTGATTACAATTTACCGACTTTAGTGGCGCGGCACTTGCTCACATACAACGTTATCCAGCGTATATAAACCGACAAAACGTACGTATCGAATATGATCACTTTCGGTCATTCAGACATTGCTGTTGGCTCACATGAATTACGTGCATATATATATATATATACAGACATACATATACATATATATAGGCATTAACTTGTCTTTGCTGGTGTTGTGATGATTTGCTCTTTTTTTTTTTCGTTTTTTGCTCGTAGTGTTGCAGTTGTGATCGAAA